GAGTTTCCCACACACGGTTTAACACACAATACAGCAATTTGTATTGGTAATAAGGAGAATAATGGAAAGAGAGATAAAAAGCTGCCAGGCTTAATTCACCAACAACTGCATCTTAAAGGGAAAAAGGTGCCCCTGAGTATCCCAATTAATTTAAATATATTTGAATTATCCAAGAGAAGCAAACACTAAGTCCGAATCCAGATTGCTGCAAACAGGCTGGGTTATAAATTGCCTTCCCTCACTCACGTGAAAACCCACCTATTTTTCTCAGTTTATACTTTATAGCACCACGAGTAACATGTTTTCATTTACTCTCTATACATTAGAGGTATTTCAAGAATGTCAGGTCTCTTTCTGATTTCCATCATTCTCTTTGCACAATTCCTAGTGTTTCTAGTTTGTAGGGAGGAAGAGTCGGAAACAAAGTCATTTTTTAAATTAATATTATGAATTAGCATACGAAGTGATGAGTTTCATCATGGCATTTTCTTTTTATTATATAGCACTTCTTATACATTCATGTCATTTTATTTTGTTTTTATTTATTCCTCTTCCCAATTCCTTTGGCACCTCAGCTGTGTTTGCTACTTTTTCTGGTCATTTTCCTTCACAAAGAGCCCCCCTTTCTGGTCTTATGTTACATGTATTCCATTACCATCTCTTCTACCCACCACTTGCATACAGTTTCTTTCTAACCTCCCACGATTCTCTATCTGCTTTCAGGGGCTAAGGGAGAACATGCGTGTTCATGCGTGCACATGCACGCATTCACGCACGAGCGTGCACGCACACACACACACACACACACACACACACACACCTAGACTTACCATATTAGAGAAAGCACGCACTATTTGTTTTTCTACACCTGGCTTATTTAACTGACTATGATGATCTCCATTTGTGTTCACTTTTCTACAGATGTCACAATTAAATTTTCCTTTGTGGAAGAAAGAAATCCATGCTTCTCTATCTAAGTTCATGGGGCTAAGGATGCACATGAATGTGTACATACACATTCACATGTACTCATTTGTATCTAGACTCCCCATATTAGAGAACTCATGCATGTCTGGTCTGGTTTTATTTCTTAGGGACTACAAAGAATGCAACAATAAACATGATTGTGCTTGTCTCCGTGGTGTGTGTGTGTGTGTGTGTGTGTGTGTGTGTGTGTGTGTGTGTGGTAATGATGTAGCCAACTTTTTAGTTTGCTGAAGAAATTCTACAATGATATCCACAGTGGCTGTTTAGTACACATTCCCACCAATAATGTATCTGTCTTCCTCTTTCCCATATGTTCACTAGCATTTACTGTCATTTGTTTCCTTGATGATAGCCATTCTGACTGAGGTGAGAAAATCCCAAAGCAGTTTTAAATTTCTTCTATGGTTCAGTTTTGAATATTTTTTCAAGTATCTATTGGCTATTTGTGTGGTCTATTTTGTATTACTAGAACTGTCTATCTAGTTAATCAGCTCATTTATGGACTGGATGGAATTTCGGTGTTAAACTTTTATAGTTTATGTATTTTAGATATTGATTTCCTGACTGATGTGCACTCGGTAAAGATTTTTTTCTCTCATTGTGTAACACGTGTTTTTACCTAGTAATTCTGAAAACCAATATATTAATATAATAGAGTACTCTGTTACCAACAGCATAATCTTGGGGACATGTATTCTGGTAATATTACTTGTTTGTTTTTCGAGACAGGATTTCTTTGTGTAGTCTTAGCTGTCCTGGAAATCATTCTGTAGACCAGGCTGGCCGTGGACTCACAGAGATCCACCTGCCTTTGCCTCCTGAGTGCTGGGGTTAAGGTCATGTGCTACCATTGCCTAGCCCTGATAATATTTTTAAAAGCCTAAAATTTAGTTGAATGTATCTCTAATTTTTATTTAATCACCATTATACAACCAAGAAATATATCACGTTTTGCTTGATTTAGTCCTGACAAATTTTCATTATCTCCGATAGGAGTTCTAGGCTACATGAATGAGCTTTGGATGAGTAGTGGACAATCCTAACTTCAATCTGTGCTTCACAGGGTGAACACAAACCTACCAGTGCTTCAGTCACAGCGTAAGATGATGATATGTCCTTAGTTCAGCAAACAGCTGGCTAGCACTCAAGAATCATTAAGGGTGATTTATAAGTGAATTTTCCTTTGTGGGGTAAAAGGAGTGGAAAATTTTTATAGGAATGGGAAAAGGGTGCCCTTTAGCAAGAAGGAGGGGCACAAACACAAAAGAAAAGGAGAGGATGGTGAAAGGGAATAGAGGATACAATCTATCTGAGAGAGGAAATAAGAAAATGGAGGGACTTTTAGGGAGGAGGCAGGGAGGGAGGCAAATACAGAAGAAGGTGCATAAAATACCAATAAGGATTCTGAAAAAGCTACAATGAACTGTACTCTTTTTAGCTAAAAGAAACTTGTAGCACATGCAATTTCATGTATGAACATACATATAGGGCGTTAATGAACTTTTCTCATCTGGGCCAAAGGTGCTCCCTCCAGGTGTCAATGATCACATCATAAAAACTTAAATACCAGGCATGAGAAAGCCCTCTTTTTAGTTGCTGGCTAAGACTGTTCAAGAGACTCCCAAAATATACAGCCTCCTGTTGTTGCCCTTGGTTACCTCTCAGGGGTAGGGAAGTTACATCCCAATTACTGAAGACACCATGCATTTCAGAAACGGCTCAGGAACACCTGATCTGGAGCTGACTTGAATGCCCCCTCCCTGATGACTACATTTGATGGTACCAGAAATCACTACACAAGCTTCCAAAAGAGGGAGACAACCAATAGGCCTACCCAACTGTGATGTTTACAAGCCACATATACAGACTAGCATGGCACAATAACTCTTGGGGAACAGGAGTGGCATGCATACCTTGGTAGCAACCAACACTTCTCAGATTGACCTTGAGTCCTGCTAAACAAGAGGGAAATCATTCCTTGTGCAGGAAACCTGGCTAACCTCTCAGTGCTAGTGACACCATGATCACTGTAGGAGAATCTACAACTTTTAACTTATTAAACCAGCATAACCCCTAACAACATTCTATATTTACTTACACCCAAAAGGAAGTGTAATCTTCACCTCTCATTAGGGAAACTTCTCTGCAGCAGGTGGAAACCACTACAGAAAACCACTACCAATCAGAACGCAGAGTTGTGGAGCTGAGTCCCAATGGATTCATCTAAAAAACGCTGTGCAGGTTCAGGGAACCCTGAAGAAGAGAGAGTGCTAAGACTGTAAGAACTAGGGGATCAGGGAGTTTGCAGCAAGTCTCCTAGTAATATCAGAAGCTATAACCATAAAGTCCTATCAACATGATTGTCCAAACATGAGCTAAACAAGGACAACACCAATGAACATGACAAAGTAGATGCAGAAAGCCCACAAGGCCTCAACCTTACACAAAGAATTATAGGCAAAGGAGGAAGTTAGGAGTAAGAGAGGTGTTTTTTCCCCATGGAAGGGCACACCAATCAGTTGTCTACTACCAAATGGTCAACCCTGAAAACATGCATATAATTATGTAACATTATATGGACTGAACAGGTAATATTTGGGACTATATATGTATATACACATGCAATAACAATTAGTGAAAAAATAAACCGTGGATTCAAAGGAGAGTGGGGAGGGATATATGGGAGGGTTTGGAGCGAGAAAATGCAAGGAAGAAAATGAGAAATGTAATTATATCATAATCTCAAGTATGAAATAAAAACATGTTTACACTACTATACATTTTGTATATTTCTATATAACTCCCTTTTGGAGTCTCTTAAAGGTATACAATGAAAAGAAATGTAATTTTTATATCATATAAAGTACTGCTGTACACTGTAAACTTCTTACTACAATATAAGTTCCAAATGACTGTTTTGTAAATTCCTTACAATGAAGGCAAAACTTTTACCTGAAAAGAAAATGCATTATTCACAGCATACCTTTTCCAGACTATTGGAGTCTGCATCTTCGTGACTTTTTGAGTCATTTTACAACTCTGTATATTGTAGATAACACAAAGCAATGCGAACTAACTTTGCCTTATCTACAAGTAAATAAATGTCTAGTGGATGTTCACCAATCTGCTCCCTACACTGTGAAAGCAGCCATGTTTTCCTTCTTTTGTTCTTCTGTTTCAATATCCCAACATTTAGCAATTTTCTAGGTTTGGTGGGTGCTTTTATCTGACTGTGACACTTTACTGGTTTCTTCATTGATAAATTTTAAATAATGAATTAAATATAATAGACAGCATGTGTTTGCTTTCTATTTTTATGACAGTTGTAAGTTTTACTCTTCCTGGTTTGGAAAAATCTTTGTAACAATGCAAAGGAAAAGTGGATTTTTTGAATGGAAAATTTTGTAATAAGGTATCCTTGGTCTTTGTTCCCACAGGCTATTCCCAGCCTTCTCTTCCTGATCGACTGATGCATTTAATTCTTTTCTATTTGAATCAGCTGCTATTCAATTCTTTTATTTCTGTTATTTTTTGAAAATATTATGATGTAGCCCAGACTGACCTCAAACTTGTGATCCTCCTGCCTCAGCTTCCAGAGTGCTGAGATTATAGGCATGGTGCCACCACACCTCTCCTATTCATTGTTTTGACAATCAAAAAAACCTTTTCCCCCCTGGAGTGGGGGGGGAAATCAATTGTCTACTTAAGTTTAAAAAGATAAAGCAAATGATTCTATTAACATTTCCTATTTTCAAAAATGACACGCTTTTCTTTGGAAATAACCGAACATCCCAAAGATGTAAAAGATAAATAATGTGGAAATGTAATTTTGTTTGCCCATAAAGGCACAGAAACCCCTTAGATCACTCATAAATAAATACTATGCACTTCCACACTTATCGCTTTTGGAAGCTAATGTTTTCGTTGAGACCATTTGCTGAAAACCATTTTGTTATATTCGGAGGAAACATTTCATAATAGGGAGTAGATTAAGAACAGATATTTGTACTTACTGTGCCCCACCAGAGAGCATCTGCGTATGTAGAAAACTCTTTATTGGCATCCTTTTCCACCAGATAGACAAGGAAAGAGGAAAAAATAAGAACCAGAAATCCTATGTACCAAGCTGTGATCAATTCCTAGGTATAAAAGGAAAAAAAAAAACATTTTAGAGGTAAAAAAGGATCTTTGAAAAAGGTAATAAAATCTGTGTACAATTAAATCATTTTCCTCCTTCTAGGAAGTATATGAACGCTTTTTAAGTAATGTATTATGTACCAGGGCCCCAAATGGCTTGAGCCACAGTCTGAGGTCACTGTCCGTGTTAAGTTTATTAAACATTGTTGAAACCAATGAAACGTTTTCAGAAGTTTTGCTATAAAGTGTAGAGAGCACATTTTTACCTTGCTGTGAGCGTAAACCACCGAGCCCAGCAACTTCCAGGTGCCTCCCCTCCTGTCCATGCGCACCATACGCAGGATCTGCAGGAACCGGAGACTTCTGAGTGCGGACGTGGCGAAAATATTACCCTGAGTTTTTGCAGAAACAACTGCTATTGAAGCAATAAGAACAATGGTATCTGAAAGGAAACAGGTTGAGACAGCCATGAGTCACGTGACTAACGCATTTTATTTCTCAAAGAATTTGTGTGTGTGTGTGTGTGTGTGTGTGTGTGTGTGTGTGTGTGTGTGTGTGAAGTTAATGCACATTAGTTTGAGGCCAAAGTAAACAGAGCTGGAACACCCAGCCTTACCTACCAGCACTTAGTGAGGAGCCTACAGCAGAGTGAAAAGGCCCAGAACACGACCCACCTGTCATTTTGGCTCTGGTCCCTTGACCACTCTGCGCTTTTACCTGTACAATTTTGAATCTTACAACCTTCATCAAATTGGACAATGGCATCCAAACAGTTCAGTGTCTTGGGGGGAGCTGCAGGATTATAAGGCTCTCTTTCACAATAACCTCAATTTCATTAATTCCCTAGTCTGCAACAAAAGCTCCCAACTCAACCCCCAACCTCTGGCTCCCGGGGTTGATGGGACAGGAAATGTCCTTGCTTCTTATTCTTTTTGCCAAACAAGATAGCATCCTCCCTGTGCCAACCATTCTCTCCTGTTGTGGAGTCTGCAACTGCGCCTCTATTTAACAAAGGTCTCCAGTATTCTGAATACTCTGGGCTTTGAATATGCTCTTTTAACCGGTCTTCCAGTTAAGTGAAAGCTTAGCACAAATCAAATACTACCTCTGTTTCAGTCCGTTATACAATTATGCACGATGTGCTTTGCATGGATATGGATACTTCATGTATTGGCGTTTGGCTTAAAAAAATATCAGCTCGTTTGTAGTCAAAACAGGCTAAAAGCAGCTAACAAAGGCAGAGAAAAGGCAAAGAGGACTTAATCACCTGGAAGTAAATCTATATGTAGTAGGAAAGGGATTTTGAGGTAGCAAAGACAAAGAGACAAAGTTGGCGTGCTTTTAGTATTCACTTATCTTCAATACCCTCAAGTCAAATTTCCTTCTTGCTTCAAGTGGGTTGTGCATGACTGGGCTTCCACACTTGTAGGCTTTGCTCTGCTCCATGAGTACAGAGTGTGGCATTTGGAACATTTCTATTATCCTCGGGAGTAATGGACGTATAAAGGTGTCTTCTTCATTCAGTGTTTTTCATTTGTGACGGTGGGACCATTTTGTAGAAACTGACAGGACCTGTCTGAGTGATTCTCCTGCTGTTCTTCCTTAGGTCTTTGATTGGAGAGAAAGGATCAGTGATTGACAGTTCAAGGATTTGCCATAGGGCTTTTCCAGTCAGACCTAGAGTCTAGTCTGTGAGGAGGTGCCCGAGGGCCTCAAATGCACCCTGAGTTTATGCTCTTGAGAAGGTTCTAAATGTGTTGATGCAGACACCAAAGACATATTTTAAATGAGCAGAAGCATACAAATGTGTGAGGTGACATTATTTTAGAAAGCATATGCATCAGTTAGTGTAAGCTAGGAAAGCATAAGCAAGCTTGCGTAGCTTATCACCATTAATTAGCTGTAGGTGGTAGACAACCAGGTGATATTAGACACAGCAACTTTTTGTTTTCCAAATTGTAGATTTCCACAATGTTGGAGTTTTAGTATACAAATACCTCATCTGAAATCAGCAAACAAATTGAAACAGTTGCATGCACACAGAAACCATGTTTTTCACCTTTTGGAGAGACTGTGCCAACAGTGATTAAAAGAGACACCGATTTTTATGACCCTGATGGATATTTTTGCTTTTATTTTATTGTATTCTAGCATATTACCAAGTACACACTCCATTATTTATGTACTAAAGTACTCAGAACACTGGAAATAGTGCTGCATACTATACAGCAAACACAAATGATTATCGTGCCTGGAATTTTCTATAATTTTGAGTGTATCTTCTAAAAATAATTTTTAATTGTGTGTGTGTGTGTGTGTGTGTAGTTACATGTATGTGAGTGTAGATGCCCACATAGGGCAGCAGGAACTTGATCTTGATACCCAGGCAGTTGTAAACCACCCTCCTTGCCTGCTTGGGACTATCCCTAGTTCGCTGTGAAGCAATATGTGCTTCTAACTGCCACACCATCTCTCTAAACTCCAAATTTACTTCTGAAGCTGTTTTTTTTTTAACTAACTTACTTTTATTTTATACATGTGAATGTTTTGCATGCATGCATGCTTGTCTGTGTACCACATGTGAGCCTGTTGCCCACAAAGTCCAGAAGAGGGCAGGAGAAACCATTGATCTGGAGTAACAGATGGTTGTGGGCCACCAAGGGGATGCTGGAACCTAGGTCTGAGTTCTCTGCAAGAACAGCAATGTACTAAGTCCTTTCCTTGCCCCACAAACTTATCTTTATTGTCATGAAACCTATTAATCAGAAATTGTATAGATCCCATTTTTCAGAAGACATGAAGTATGGAATGACTATACTGAATTTTTAAAAGATAAACTGCCAACCCGTTGTTAGACTAATTACCTCTAAAAGCATGCTATGAAGTTAGCATGTTATAGGAAAACTAGAGAATGTAAAATGAACACTATTAGTCTGAAGAAATTTTAAGTGAATCATACTCTAAATGTCTGAAGTCACAAAATAAGTAACTGCAGGTTGGATTTAATGCTCTCATTGTAATTCAGGTTAGAAGAGAAAGCCAGAGTTCAGTAAAACGAGCAGCCAAATGACAGACAGATAACACACTGTTTTCCCCCTTATTAGTACCACTTACAGTATTTCCTAGGATACTATGAAAGTTAGGAGTAATGTTTATTTCTACTCACATTTCTTTTTTTTTCTTTTTTATTATTTATTTTTAAATTTAAATTTAAATTAGAAACAAGGTTGCTTCACAAGTCAGTTCCAGGTCCCTCTCCGTTTCCCTCCCCTCCTCCCATGCCTCCCCATCCCTCCAATATCCCCTCATTTCCACAGGGAGGGTGAGGCCCTCCTTGGGGGTGTCCATAGTCTGTCATTTCATCCAGGGCAGGGCCTATACCCTCCCCTAAGAGTTCAGTGTGAGAGTGCTTCTCACATTTTCTACTCACATTTCTATTATGTTTGTTGTCTGTTGGTTTATAGAATGGATGTCCCATACGATTGCATCATTGTTTATTGTTTTGTTTTGTTCTCCCCCGTTTATGTAGCCTGAGAACTTTTTTTTTAATTGCCTAAGTAATTCAGACAACCCATGGAATGTGAAGCTTATAGAACAACCTTATATAAACAAGCACATAAATATAGGTTATATAATATATCACTAAGATTTATAATGCAAGGCTGGTAAGATGGCTTATTGGTTAAGTGCACTTGCTACTAAGCTTGATGACCTAAATTTGATCCCTAGAACCCACATGGTGGAAGAATTGACTACTACAAGCGATCCTTGACATTAACACGGTGCTGTGGCACCCCCAATAAATAAAGTAATAAAAACCCATGTGGAACTCTACTATTTTGTAAGCTAATTAAAATATATAATTAAAAACACAATAGGAGCTGAACAGAGATACTTTGCATGAGTGGACATGACTTTCCAGAAGATCTGGGTTATTACATGAAAATATCAGTGGCAGGGGTGGGATACATCTTTACCAAGTTTTTGGTCAGGGAGCACTCAGAGGTCCCTGAAACAATATAAGCTTTTGACATTGTTCTTGGTTGCTCAGCATAGCTGGTAAGACTCTATTGCTGAAGATACAATGTATTTTGGCAGCAGGATTTAGAGAATTCAAATTGGAACTGACATGAAAATGTCTTCACTGTTGACTAGCTGTCATAGTGCTAGAGTGTGTTATGTAGTTCACTTGGAGAAATAGGACATTAATGGTACCCTATGGCCAACCCTACATTATAGAATATTAACATTCCAGGCAAGATGTGTTACTGGTATAGTAGTGGTGCAAGGCTCTGGGGTAACCCACTGCTCTAAGGTTGGATTTGAAGTCTGCTCTCCTGGAAGGAATTTTATGTCTGGTGCTGTAAACTTAGAACCAACTATTATTGTTTTGCTAACTGACATGTTGCTATATAGTCTTCCAAATATCTATGTTTATGCTCACAGATTAGTGCTGTCCTCACCTTAGGCAGGGAAAATTCCCTGTTCTAGTTAATAGGCAATTCAGAATTCCATAATTGGTCAGAATATCAGAACAAGTGACTCGAGTGTTCAACCCAGAAGTAGGATAGACAATGCTGAAGCTGTCTGCTAAGAGCCATGCTGCAGCATCTTTGGCTGAGTAAATCCAGGGCAGGATGGCAGCGGGGGAAAGAGAAGTGGGAGGTTGTGAAAGCAAGTGTACGATGAATCAAGAATAAATCGTTATCACATAAAGCATTGAGGACAGACAGAATGCAGGGAGTGTTGAGCAGACATAAAATTATGCTAAGAACAGATGGTCTTTTATGGATGTATCAAGAGAAAATGGGGCTAGAGAAAGAAATAGAACAGCTAATAAGGAGTTCAAGACTGCATGAAAAAAGAAAACCTGTGGGTCTAATGCTTACTTCTTCCCAGGGAAATAGATATGAACACCTTGGGAAATATTGGAAGACCACTTGGTGATTTTAAGCAACTGGGTAGAAATACAAATAGACTAATACTGTATTATGGAGGAGGCCCACAACATACTGAGTCATTCAAAAAGATTTATCAATGATTTTTTCCACTTGAGACTCGAGGAAACTGCAAAAGATTTGAACAATGTAAAATCCATAATGGTATTTAAGACTCACTGGGATGTGAAGGAGCTTACCACACTCCTCTCACTCAACTCCAGTATTGTATAGTCAGCAAAATCAATATGAATCAATAACTATAGATGTGTCTGAAGGATATAAGTCCCCAAAAGCTCTCACTATGAGACAGATTCACATGCAAAGCTACTGAATCATGGACCTGATGCCTGGGTTAAAGCAAGGGCAGTTATACATCTGTACTTTACAGGACACAATTGCACTATGTAACATGTCTATTAGACAGCTCAATGGACAAACTGAATTCAAAGGACTGAGAGAAGCATGGTTGGACACTTCAACACCAGTAATTGTAAGAAGAGAG